CCTTGTAGGTAATTATTTTCAGCACTGAAGTGTAAGTTGATGCTTTTCAAAAAAATCATTTTGAAAATTACAGCAAAAACAAATGCAACAAAGACACCAATTATTACTACAATTGATTGCATCTGGTGGGGAGAAATGAGTGGTTCTTGAGCTTCTTACTAGTAGTACTAGTACTAGTACCAGCCCTCCTGCTACTCATAGTATAACTTTTACCCAAAGGGCTCCTCTGCTGGCGCTGGTGCCACTAGCAATAGTGCTAGCACTATGTACTACTATCCCTACTATTATTGGTGTGTTTGCTGCCTCCTCTGCCTCTTGTAGGCTTCTTGGTAGGTCACAGTCTGATGGTGCTTGTTGTTGTGTAATGTGACCCCGCTTGCTTTCAAGAATGATGATGACAAAACCTATGTTGGGGTCTCTCTAGCAGCTAAGTACTTGATACCTAATTCTTTATTTATAATGGATCTACTAACAGAAGAAGCAGGACACCTTGGAGCTGGGGGCACTCCACATGCTCTTCTTGGAGGCTGTATGGGGTGCTGACTCAGCAGACCCCCAATGCTGCCTGTCAACCCCTCAGACATAGGCCTCTTGACACCATGCTTAGAATTTTTCTTTCTCTTTGCTGGTGAGAGGCCTATGGTTGTGGGGCTGTTTGAAGTTAGTGTAGCAGGCCCCTTTAGTGTGCTGGTACATATGACATCTAGGCTTCCTGTTGCTGCAGGGGAGGGCCTGCTGCTTGGCCTTTGCTGCCATGGCAGCCAGCCCTTGTGAGATCTTCCAGTCTTTAATAGTCTTTTAAAGGTGGTTGTTCTTCTTCAAGGGGGGATCTAGATCTTGATTTACTTTTCTGCATTCTTTGGCTGCATGTTTGTTCTATCTACAGGGACCTCTCCTATGGAGGGGTTCTATATGTTGGTCAGGAGGCTGAAGTGTACTTGCTTGAGGAAGCAATATCCTTGCTGGTTCTAGTTGATAACCAACAGTTGTAACAAGTAGCCCAGGGCTGTGGTGGCTAGTAGTACTACAGACAAGAAGCACTCAATCTGTACTTCCATCTTAGTCCAATCGGTGGGGATGTAGCCCTCCTTAACCTTGACCAGCATCAGGATATCTGCATAGTTAATGGAATTGCCTTCAGTGGTCATAATAGTCTGGAGACTGTTTGCTTAAGTAAAGAAGGAGGAGTCAACTTGGGCCAACTCTCCTTCCCCTTTGACAACATCTTTGAAGTAACCAAATGCCTTCCTCTGTACTGTATCTCTCCTTGTGTCCCACCTCTGTAGTGGTGGACAATACTGACTTGATTGGCTTCATCTGCTTCAGAACTGCACTGCCTCTTCTTTGAACGCATGGATGGTGGTGGTGTTGAGGAGAAGGTTGAGGGCAGCAATTGGGGGATTGGGTGAAGAGCGCCAGTATCTGTAAACATTCCTTAGCACATCTTGGCCATCATCTCCTTGAAGAGGTCTCAGTCACCCAGACGGAAGTACTCTTGGTAGCACTACAGTGCTCTGACATCTGTCATCATAGTAGTGGTGCAATAGTGCTCCACCATATAATATGGCACAAGAAGGGACAAGTGCAACATGCACTCACTCTGTCGGGGCCAAAACTTTCTTGACAGCAAACTAGTACTACTATATTTTACTATTGTTGTACAGCTTCACAGGATTGTGAGCCCATGGTCCTTTGCTGGGCTCACAACTCCTATATTTCTAGTAGTTACTCCTTTAGTAGTGGTAGCTCCTTCAAGAGAGGGTCTTACTAGCTGTAACCTTAACCTGTTTGAGGAGTGTCTGTCCTCTGCTCATCACTTGATACCAAAAAGGAGTTACCTAGTTCATGCAGTACCATACGTAATTGTACCAAGGGTCATAAATTTAACAGGGGTGCGCAACACCTGTAGGGGACACACATTAATTTGCAGGAGAGAGAAAAATTCTTATTCCATCCTCAGGACAAATAAGAAAAATTCAGCTCCAAGGATTTTTCCAGTTCTCATTTTCACTGCATAATACTAGTAGAACTGTCCAACCTGTAGTATGCACTAAGAACTTCATCAAAAATGCTACTAATAATTTTTGAAAAAACATTCTAGGCCAGTTTTTCATGAGGATTATGAATATGCCAATATTTCAGTGGAAAATGGATATTTAGTGTACCTTTTTATATTGACAAACCAGCATAAAAATACTACTACTACTAGTAGTAGTAGTGCTAAGCACTACTGTTATTAGTAGTACTACTAGTACCAAACCAGTATTATGTTATTACTACTGCAACTAGTAGTACTCTTAATACTAGTAGTACTAGCTTCTATTACTAACACCAGCAGCAATAAAGAGGAAGAACCCAGTACTACCACTATGTCACATAAACTGTTTTCACCCCAGTTATATCTGGCTTGCACTGTTTTTTCATCTGTTTATATGAATGACATCTTCTCTCAAAATATAGTTTTTGGGCAACCATAGTATTTTCGCCACTTGATTGGTATCACGTATTGGTTGCCTGCAAAAGAATCATTTCTTGTGTCAAAAAAAAGAATATTGTGCCTATCCTGATATCCTTTTTTCCAATTTTGATACATGTCAATTCACTTTCCTGCATCAAGAAGCCCACAACGACAACACCGTAGTAAGTAAGTTGTTATGGGGCAATCACCCAAGCTAAGAGTGTATTGCCGATGATGTTACAAAAAGGACCAACAGATTAAAATAAAAAATAAACCCACCAAGAGACCCAAACTTTATTCTGGAACTAGGAGGCAAAATGACGGTGTTGTCACATCTAGACACCTCTTATGTCATCTCGGTGACAAAAATGATTGCTCCTACCACATTTCTCAACCTCCATATTTGACCCTGGAAATTTTTGGGCTTGCTTGGGCCATAAATTCTGTCTGACGAACACCCAAAATGGCCCAGGTTCTGCTTTGCCTAAAAATCTTGATTTGCAGGTTATGTTTGACCCAAACTATCCACCGATTGACTGTGACTTGTTGGAGGATGAACTCAACAAAGCAACATCCTCTTTTGAACCTTCCTCCCCCTCCTCTGTTGTCAACAATTCTGAGAATACACACAACAGAGTTGTTGACAGCAGTGAACACCATCCGCTGTCAGTTTTGAACCACCATCTGGCTCCACAAGAATTTTCCATTCCTCCCATATCTATGCCCAATCATCACCGCCATGTTTCCAACAAATTGAAGGTAAAAATCAAGCTCATGAAGATAATGCGCAACAGCAAGATTCCTCTTGCCACCAAGAGAGAGCTTCATCAATGGGCAGCGGAAGCCAAGAGTCTACAACTCTTTTCCTGCTGGTCTCAACAAGGGAACTTATTCAAAACATGCAAATCTGCAATGAAAGAATTATACAAAACAGCCCCCAAAATCAAAGGCGGTGAGTTTGAGCCTATTGTCATTGACTGGTGTTACAAAGCTTCTGTTGATCCATCTCATTGTGGTTGAAAACAAGTTTATTTTGCAAAGCTTTGTACTCCCTACTTCTTACCAATGCCACCTTGGTCACAGAGGGTAACCTTTCCTTCCCTAACCAGAATGACCCAACTTCCTTTGAACAGAAACCCCAGCTTGAAAATGAGGACATTATCTGTGAACTTCACCACACAACTTGGTGGATAGAGACATGGAAACGAAGTCCTGGTCCCAATTATCCTTTACATGCACGGGATTGCCATTGACAACAGTGGACTCACTTCCCTAGCACCCCTCAATATGACTCTTGGCATGTTCATCAGCTTAACATAGTCATCTAGACCCAACACCTGGAGACTATCTATTTTCATCCATCAGGCAAATGTGACAAGGCTGACAATCTACATGTAGGCTTACAAGCCACATTGCACAGCAGCCTCAAAGAGGCATGTAACTTCTTAACCGAAGGCATACAGTGGTCAAACCTTCCCTGAAATGGACAGGGTTGGAGTGTCAAATTGAAATTTTCTGTGTCCTTTTTCATTGGTGATACCCCACAGCATGACAACCTTTGTGGCCATTACTGATCGGCCAATACAAAAATGCTATGCCGCCACTGCAATTGCCCCAGACCTCTCGGCATGTAGTGAAACCTCCTGTTTCCCCTATGCCATGTACTAGTACTACTAGTTGTAGTAGTTGCAGTAGTACTAGTAATAGCATAATACTGGTTTGGTACTAGTACTACTTATAACAGTAGTGCTTAGCATGACTAGTAGTAGTACTACTACTACTACTACTAGTACTAGTACTAGTAATTTTTATGCTGGTTTGTTAATACTATAAAAAGGTACACTAAATATCCATTTTCCACTAAAAATATTGGCATATTCATAATCCTCATGAAAATCTGGCATAGACTGATTTTTCAAAAATTATGAATAGTATTTTTGATGAAGTTCTTAGTGCATAAAGGTTGGATAGTTTTACTAGTGTTATGCAGTGAAAATGAGAACTGGAAAAATCCTTGGAGCTGAAGTTTTCTCAATTGTACCGAGGATGGAATTGTCGAGTGTTGCGCACTATTAAATTTGTGACCCCTGCTCTTACCCCACACCGGCAAAATAACGCTCAGTAGGCGCGCCTTTTTGCTTGGTGCGCATGGTGTTTTCCTTCGTCAACCGAGATGGATAAGTGCGTACATCGTACCGTACATGGTAGGAAAACGTACTACAAAATACTTCTACTAACCTACCTACGATACTGAACGATATGATTGATATCGGACCGTACCGGTACGAGTACGTACGAAACGTACGGTATGACTACCAAGCTAAGAGGTATTGTACTGTCCTTCCACCGCTAGTATTATTACTAGTACTCGTACTCGCATGGGTTCAGTTCAGTAACGCATGGCCTTCACGCAGCTGTATTCGTAACGTTCTTCGAGGACGAAATAGCGGTAATGAATAATACGGGTACCAAGTACGATTCCTGTGCTCTTGCAATGTTTACTGGACGTCGATTATCCAACAGGGAAAATTTAATTTTCGCAGGAACAACTGCTGGAATTGGAAGCTCCAAGAAAGCAGAAGAGGAATAGCGCAACACAGAACCCGCACTCTTTCCTACCCCGGCAGCACATTGGTGATCGAAGGCAGCTACACCGCACGAAAGGCTACGACTCTTCGCTCGATCGATTCTCCCATCGCTAACCGAACAAGCGCAGACATAATTACTAAGAGCAGAGCGCAAGAGGATGTCGAATCGCAATGTCAGCCAGGTAAAGAATCGGGCCCCGGCGCCGATCCAGATCAGCGCGGAGCAACTCCTCCGGGAATCCGCGGATCGACAAGAAGTCCTGAAGGTCGACCCGGTGGTGCAGATCCACGATGCCGAAGAATACCAGTCGTACCTGCGAGACAGGCGAAAGCACTACGAGGACAACATCCGCTACCGACGGGAACACATCGGAAACTGGGTCAAATACGCCAAGCTAGAGGAGGACCACAAGGAGTTCGAGCGGGCCCGATCTATCTACGAGCGAGCCCTCGAGGTAGAACCACGGTCGGCGGAATTGTGGCTCCGCTACGCGCAGTTCGAGATGCGAAACGAGTTTCTGAACCACGCTCGAAATGTTTTGGACAGGGCCGTGCAGTTGTTGCCTCGAACGGACTTTCTGTGGTACAAATACGTCTACATGGAAGAATTGGTGAGGGATATACCCAAGTGTCGTTCCGTCTTTGAACGGTGGATGAAATGGATGCCGGACGACAACGCCTGGATGGCCTACGCAAGGTTCGAAACAAGGTGTGGCGGAAGCAGTGGTGGATTGGACCGTGCAGAGGCCGTCATGAGACGCTACGTAAATGCCTATCCGTCTCCGAAATCTTTTATGAAGTTTGCAAAGTGGGCCGAATACGAGGCGAAGAACGTCGATTTGGCGAGGACGATATGGGAAGCATCCCTGTCCGAGCTAGAACCGGAGGAATCAAAGCAAGCACGAGTGTTTGCTAGGTTTGCTGCATTCGAAGAACGGCAGGGGGAGTACGTTCGAGCTCGGGTCATTTACAAGCATGCCATCGTGTTGTTGCGACTGGAAGAACTGGAGAAAATCAAAGCGGAACAATCGTCGCGGACCATGGAACAAGACGATGATATACCCGACTGGGAATTGGATCAGCGAAAGGATTTATACAAAGCTTACTTAACGTTCGAAAAGAAACACGGGGATCGACAGGGGATCGAACGGGTCTTGCTGACCAAACAACGGAGGGAATACAACGAGCGTGTCGAGAAAGATCCCTACGACTACGATGCTTGGTTTGAATTCGCAAAGCTGGAGGAAGATAGCACCCTCCTTGATGCAGGCACAGACAACCACCATAGAGCGGGTGATCCAGCAGCGGTGCGAGAAGTTTACGAACGAGCGGTGGCACAAGTTCCCCCCGGAAACACCGGTGAAAAAGAACACTGGAAGAGATACATATATTTGTGGATCTATTATGCGACGTACGAAGAACTAACGAATCGGGATCTAGAACGAGCGTCGGAAATATATCAAACCTGCCTCGACCACGTCATACCCCACAAACAATTTTCGTTTTCAAAAGTGTGGATCTATGCAGCAAAACTACAGATCCGGCGAAAGAATCTAACAGCCGCGCGGAAGTTGCTAGGAAGGGCCATTGGAATGTGCAAGGGAAAGGAACGGATTTTCAAGGAGTACATTGCTATCGAAATGTCGCTCGGAGAAATCGATCGGTGTCGGACGCTATACAACAATTATCTTAAGGCTATGCCGCAAAACTGCGAGGCGTGGAGCAAGTACGCCGAACTAGAGAAGTCGCTAGGAGAGTCGGAGCGGTGTCGGGCCATTCTTTCCCTGGCAATTTCACAGCCCAGCCTGGACATGCCGGAGGTCTTGTGGAAATCCTTCATCGACTTTGAAATCGAAGAGGGAGAAGCCGGCAACGCAAGAAAACTCTACGAACGGCTACTGGAAAAAACCAGCCACGTCAAGGTCTGGATCTCGTACGCTCAATTCGAGGCCGGCGAAATCGGCGAGGGCATGCCCAAGGTCCGAACCATTCTGGAAAAGGCTTACAACGAACTCAAGGAAGACGGCCTCAAGGAGGAGAGGGTGCTGCTACTGGACTCCTGGCGGGCCCTCGAGCAACAAAAAGGCGACGCCGACAGCCTTTCGGCAGTCGAAAAGAGACTGCCCCGGCGGGTCAAGAGGAAACGCATGCGCAAGGACGGCGACGGAAACGATCTCGGGTGGGAAGAATACTTCGACTACCAGTTTCCGGACGACGACGACCAGGGGGCATCGAACCTCAAAATCTTGGAGATGGCTGCCAAGTGGAAGCGCAAACACGACGACAGTGACGACGACAGCGATGACGATGACGATGACGATGACGACGATAGTGACGACGACGACGACGAATAAGGTTTTTAATCTCTTTCGAATCGCCGTTCATCTCACAACACTCTTCTTGCATTGTATGTAATCTAGTCTAACGCAATAACGTTGAAAATGTAGAAAGTTTTTACTTCCGTTCTTTAGGAGCGAGTCACAGCCCTCGGTTTGTTGTGTCTTTTTCAGCAAAAAGAAATACGACATTGTTCAAAAGGGATGTAGAGAAAAGTTTTCGTCTCTCGTTATTCTTCAAGTCTTTGACCGATACACATTTATCGTGTAAATTTCATGTGTCGAAATCACGTGTTCAATACACACGATGGTATGCTAGCAGAGCTCATGGCTCGACGCTTTAATATTGATGCTTTCGCTTACAACTCTCTCCGTGATTTGAAAAGCTTTTCGCTCGACCATCGTTCCCTTCGCTTCTTACCTGGCACTAGATTTGCCCAACCTGGGGACTGCTAGCAACAAGCCGATCAAAGCGCTTCATGGACTTCTCCGCCACGGCTTTGTCACCACCCGGTGCATTCGGATTGCTCCGGTAAAAGCAAGACAAGACCGGTCCGAGCAGGTATTTCTTGGGGTTCAGGAAATCAGTCGGAAAACTAGGGGTCACTCCGAGTTCGTCTCCGATGTCTTCGTTGAGGCTTGTTGATACATCGTATTGGTTTAGGATGCTAGATTTATCCATTTTCTTGGCAATCGATGCTTCTGCATTGGATCGAAGCCGGGAGAGATCCGGGCAGGGAGTTCTCCCTGACCAAATTGCGGAGATATATCGTGCTTGCATTTCACCTTGCGGAAAATAGGGACCAACGGAATTGACGAGGCCACAGAAAGCCAGGTTGCCCACGAGTTCTGGATTCGGAACGAGCGTGTTTTTGTAGAGCGCCATCACCGTCTTTCCGGTGGCTGGGTTGGGAATCCCTACCTCCTTTTGGATAGATTTCGGCAGGAAGGAAAGGTCAAAGTCGTATCCGGTAGCACAAACAATCGCATCTAATTTTTCGGTTGTGCCGTCGACGAATGTTACGTTGTTACCATCCACACTCGCCACTTCTGGCTTTACCGGCAGCTTTCCGTTTTTCACCTGGTCTACATAGTTCTTCGAGACAGCGATCCCGCACTGCCGTATGTCCGGCGATACTCTTATTGCGCAGTTGGGCGTGTTCGCATCGCACTGGTCTGGCCAAAGCGATAGGATGACGCTTTTCATTCCTTTTGCCACCACCCAATCGGGCAAGACACGATTGGTCCAAACAGCAGAGCGATTATAAAAGAGGTCGTCGTAGGACCAATTGTTGCCCTTTGCGAGTTTTTGGATGTGGTAGGGCATTTTCCGTACACTATGGACTACTTTTTGGCAGCCACCATTGTTCAAACCCTCCGCCAGTATGGATGCGATTTCACTCCCCGAGACGTTAGATCCGATGACCAGGACGCGCTTGTCGATGAAATCTTGTTCAGACCGAAACAATTGGGCGTGTATAACGTCCCCGGAAAAATCAGTTAGCTTGGATTCCAGTGGATGATACGGCTTTGCTTGTGCACCATTGCAAACCACAATGGCATCAAAGTCGTGAGTGGTTACGACATCGTTTTTGCTCCCGATGGTTACCACCTTCCAGCCGGACTCGACCTTTTCAATGGACTTTACCTCGGTTTCCAGTCGTAGACTTGGATAAAGATCGAATTTCCTTGCATATGCTTCGAGGTAGGCCAGCACTTCCGTGCAGTGCGGATAGATCCCGGCATAGGCTTTTTCGTGACCGTCATAGCCATCTTCCGCGTCCCACGGAAAGTCCGAAAACTCGCTGTGCCTCCGCGATGTGTTCGTACACAATTCTTTCCATATGCCGGCGTTGTGCGTGTCTCTGTCGAGGGACCACCTTCCACCCACTCTCGAGCACCGATCAAATCCGATGACTTCGCCGAAGCCACCGTCGGCCTTCAGTTCTTTGACCATGGCCAAGCCCGCCGGCCCCAACCCGATCACACCCACAGTCTTTTTCTTCGCGCTCATTGTTGTCGTATCTATGGTTAGTGTTGTCGTCAATTACTAATGTTACGTGTCAGGTAGGATATGGGACATCGGAGAAGTGAAGCTTTGTTTCTTTTTCCTTTCAAGTCGTTCTGTACAATTTTTACCACTGTACACTATGTACAGTAAGGTACGGCACATTTTCGTCGCGTACGGTACCTTCATGATTTATGATTCATGACATTCGCGGATACGTAGTACCCGGTACTATTAAAGAACGTGGAAGTGGGTTTGAAAGATAGCCCAGCAATACAGTAGTTCGTACAGTAGAAAAGTACAGTCGAAGTAGAAGTACTAGAGTAGGTTTTTCTTAGCCTCGTGTGGGTTTGAAATTTGTGAGCGACGTTTTCCGCTATTCTGTATCACTGCCTGCCAACCATCGAGAAGACAACGAAGAGCGCGCGGGTTGTTGCTAATATTTCACACCGAATACCATACTGTAACTCATTGTCGATGATGGTGATACTACGTACTTCTTTCAATAAATCGACAAGCAACGGCAACAGCGAATGCATCCCACAAAAAGGACATTGACAGCCAAGAAGAGCGATCAGAGACTTACACCCAAAACAAGTGGCGCCAATTTTCTAACATGGAGCAGCAGCAGGCCATCGTGCTCTTTTACATGTATTTTTCGTCGTCGTCGTCGTCGTCGTCTTCGCCTGGGCATGCAACGGCAATCCGAAGATGGTGGGAAGACCCAAAGGGAAATATCCGGAGGCTTTACCAGTGGCACGAAACGAATCTGTCGACCATATCTTCTTCTACGGAGAATCAACTGGCCGCTAACAAACGGAGACTCGCCCTGGTGGGCCGAATCTTGATTGCCCCCGAGGGGATCAACGGAACGGTATCGGGGAACCGCGCGTTCGTCGAGGCATACGTCGAACGACTGAGGGAGTACGACAGTGTGTTTGGGGCGACGGAGACCGGCGGGAGCAACACGGACGGAGCCGATCTCAGGATATTTCGAGACGTAGATTACAAAATGTCGTACGATTCCTCTCCGGAACCCTTGTTTCCGGACCTGAAAATCAGCATCGTCAAGGAAATCGTCAGCACGTCTGGCCTTGTGGACGTCCACGACGTACCCCTCGAGACGGGGAAACACCTGACGCCCGAGGAATTCCACCAAGTGCTGGAGGATTCGAAAAACCAGGAGCAGTCCAAAGAGATTGCCCTGATCGACGTTCGGAACACCTTCGAACACGACATTGGGTACTTTGTGGATCCCAGAACAAAAAGCAAAGCCATCGACCCCGAGACGACAACCTTTTCTTCCTTTGACAAGTTCTGCGAGCGCAATGCCGAAGAACTGCGGAACAAGAAGGTGATGATGTACTGTACCGGTGGGATTCGGTGCGAAAAGGCCTCGGTTCTGTTGAAGAGAAGGGGTGTCGAGGACGTCAACCAGTTGTCCGGAGGAATCCATCGCTACCTGGAAAAATATGGAAACACTGGTCACTTCAAGGGTCTCAATTTTACGTTCGATAAACGGGTGGCAATGAAGCCAAACTTTGCAACCGAATTCTGCAACGATACTGGCAAAGATTTAGAAAGCGACGACCATAAAGCTCCGAGCTGTGACGACACCAAAGACGACTCATACGACATAGTTGGCCGCTGCGTCGAATGCGACGATCCGTTTGACGAACTATGTGGTTCCAGGGTTTGCACTGTCTGCCGGGATTTGGTGCTGGTCTGTGAAAAGTGCCGTTCTAGGAGCTCCTTGCGAGAATACCACTGCAAACGGCATTCCGAGTGGAAGAATTGCTACTTTTCCTTTCTGGAAATTTTTGACCTGAACGAGCTCGAAGCACAACTGAATGCTCTGCGGGCTTTACGGGACGAAGATTCTATGGCCAAAAGCGTTCGGCGGACGCTAACGCGTCAAATCAATAAGGTAGAAAGCCGGATACGTGCGGTAAACGACGGTAGTCAATCCGTGGACAAAAACGCACCCCGACGGTGTCGGTCTTGCCAGGAAGTACTGGGCCAGGCATGCGACGGCAAGTGCTGGGGATTTTGGAGGAAAGTGGAGGTCCTCCCCACACTCACAACCAATGAGAACAAGACACAAGGGGTTGGCATTTGTGATGATTCAAAAAACACTAGCAACGATAGCACAAAAAGGGCAAAAATAGCAGCTAAGCGAGGCAGAAGAGCCAAACAGAAATTGGAGGCTGAAATGGAATTTTTGCCTCGACCACCAGCTGGTTCTACCCTTGCTAGCGAGTGAATTTTCCACGTTTTTGTTTTTTTGAACCCTACAAAGAATTAAGACGCACCGTATCAAGGAAAAAATCACAGTTACCATGTCGTTGATGAATAATTGTCAAAATCTATCGATTATCCATTTAGTTTGCGTCTTGATCTTTTAGATTCAATACGAATTTTTTCATATCGTTGTCACAGAAGATAACCTCTACTTGTTTTTCGGTCTTCCAGCTTCGTTCCATAGCGCTTTTCACAAGATGTGGGGTTGCGAAGGAAGGAACAAATTCTCCATTGATATAGTCGACAGACAAATGGCTATAGGTGTCATTTTGAGGGTCCCGAAGCCTTTGCGTAGAGAGTTGTAACGGGCCAACGATCCCCTTCAAGTCCTTGACAATGATGTCAGAGTACGTCTTCAGTTCGAGATCCAAACCCAACTGCTCGTAAGAGTCTGCCGAGACACAAATAGTGTCAGAGTTCTCCATTTGTATTTCCTTTTTGGTTGGAGTGCCCAACAAGGTAGAAGTCCAATCGCGCGCCTGCGCTTCATTTTGCCGTTTTGGTCGAGCAAAAGTCAACCCAATCGGGTAATTCGATTTATCCCGCAGCATTCTATCCACTTCAACCAATGTCGGAGAAGAGCGCTCTCCCATCCACCGACATCCTGCACCAACTGTGACACCATTTACAAATACAAGATGGTCGCCTAGAAGGACTCCTCCCTTTTCTGATACGCCGTCAACTTCTTTAAAACCATCCAGTACAATGCGCTTATTCTCTCTGTCTTCCTTCAGCACCAGCTCCTCAGGACCACCAAGAACAAATGGAAGACTTTCGCTTTGTTCGTAGACAATTGGATGAAGATAAGGATCTGCAAAAGTGAGCCGAAGCGGACGTTCCTTGCCTTCTGATTCTATCAGCTTCAACGCTAAACGTCTTCCCGCTCCATTTTCTCCAATGACGAGTTTGCCGTTCACATGAGTTAACAAATCTCCCACATGGATTTTGTCCTTCTTCCGTTCTGCGGCCAATACTAATCCATCTTCGCTTTCCAAAAACTTCCTGACAACCAAGCCTACATTGTCTGGGGCATTGGCGAATTCAAGGCCTAAGTCCATGTCATCTGTAAAATCGACTTCGCGTGTTGAAATGTCGCGATCATCTGCGGAAACTGTTGGTTTTTGGGCGTTGCTTTTGTCTGGGTTTTGTCGCGCTTCACTTTCCTCTACAAACTTTCTTATTCGTTCAGCATCCTCTGATTCTGCTAATTCGAATTGGATCGTCTTGGGACGACTCGGATCTCGCAAGGCATCAAATAACTCGTCCTCAGTCTGGTATCGGATCCCGTTCACGGCAACAATTGTTGCTCCTTTGAATCCTTCAGGGTCTAACTTTCGAGCTTCGCACACAGTACGTGCCTGACTACCTCTCGGAAAATCTACAATTTTCAATTGTCCACTCTCGTCATTCAGCAGTAAATTCATACCAAGAGGGAGGTGCTCTCGCCACACCAGTTCGACCAACGTGCTATCGGGTTCAGGACTGGCTTCCACAATACTCTCTTTAGTCGCGACTTCAAGATCTCCCAATTCAAGTTTGGCAGTTCGCAAGAGGACGTCCCAGAAGGGGCTAAGACCTTGGTTCAGTTTGCTCAAGATCCAACCAGACTTTTCGGTCATGATCTGTAAAATGGCTCGTACAACATAGTCGCGCAAAAGGTTCTTGAACACGGATGCTACCTTATTGATAACCCACGCCATCTTACTTCCTCCATGCATATTGAAATCCACAGAGCCAATTGAACATAGGCGATCGTGAAGGCACAAAACTGGCTCCCACTCTTCACCTTCTCCACTTTTATCTTTTTTGGGTCGTTTTCGAAGTTCGAATACCAGTCGAATGGCCCCTCCTGACATGTTCACATCAAATTTACCACTTCCTTTTAAGTATGGCATATACGTTTGTTCGAAGGACCAGTTTACATCATTCATAAGGGCTGAAATATCGCTAACGTCGATAATCAATAACTCGGTTGCATTGACAACAACATTTTCATCGATCGTCGTCTCGAAATCCATACTGTCAGAACTGCTTTGTCTCGAAAGTCCGGCCCAACTCGATGCCTCATCTGCAGCCACCTGGAGCCAGACGGGCGCATCATCTTCACTCACTTCTTGTATTACAGGACTCTTCTTCTTCACTCTCTTGGTTGCTCTCATTCCTGCAATTTCTACAATGATGTTTTCTTTTCTGACTTTAAACCCTTCCATAGAAAGATTCGAAATTTTATAAACCAATCCATCTTTGACCCCTTCCACAGGAGGAACTGGCATCGACGGTAGTACCTTCAGAATGAAATCCAGGGCGGTATCGGTAGCATCAGATAGTAGTTTTTGACGCGCCTTTTCATCTGTGATAGCATTACCAGCATTATCAAGCAATTCATTGACATCGATTGCCTCGATTCCTTCCATGACGGTGTCCTTTGTAATACCAGCTTTTTCAGCAATTCTCATCGCATCGTCGACAACCTTGTTGCCATTCACTCCTTCAATGGCATCCAAGACTTTCTCGCCATGTTTTACTAGGTTTTCACCTACAGCCACTACCTTATCATCGTTTAGAACGTTCACCACTTCGTCGAGGACCGCAGATACAGTCAACTCACCCGAAACAATCTTCCTGACGTGTTGAAGAACTTCCAATATCGTAGGATCAGAGACTGACGATTCCGCAGAATCCAATTGTTTCTCAATTTCCTTCGCAGCACGCTTGGCAATGGGATCGAAGAGTTTCGCTGTTCCTCCTTCTCCCTGAGCAATAGATGCTATGTCTTCGGCAGAGAGGTCTTCACCAAAATGCGAATCCAAATCGCACATTACTTGTTCAACCTTTAACAATGCAACATCCCGGTATTGGTTCTGTCGAGCCAAGACAGAAATCAAGGTCTCGTTCGAATCAGCTGTCAAGGATGACGCACGTGATTGCAGGTTGGTCAGCATCTTCTGCATATGATCGCCATCTTCACCGGGCCCCGCGTGCTTCTGAACGCCACCCGCTACCTTGTCGGCTATGCCTTCCACATTTTGGTTCACAGCCGTTAATGCGCCTGCAATGATGCCATCCAAACCTCCCAAGGACTCGGATCGTACCTCGATAGCCGACACCAGACGATCCCGCACAGAATCTCCAAGCTCAATCGATTTCAGTCTCGCAACGGCAGCATCACCTTCAGTAAAAGCTTTAGTAAATTTAGATCCAACTTCACCTGCCCACTGCAACTGATCCTTGCTAAACAAATTTTTTGCTCTTGCCTGGATGCGGCTGGCACCGTCCAAAAAGATACCGGCCGACCGCGTGTTCAAGAGTCGTCCCGTAGCCTCTTGCCATGCGGCCGTTTGATCGTTGACAGTATCTAACAAACCGCTTAGCGTTCGATCGGATTTCGCTGCTTCTGTCCAACTGTCAAGCATACTTCCAAAATTATCGCTAAGAGATTTTTGAATTGCCTGAACATCATCTGGATTTACATTTGCTTGATCGAGCACTGTTTGCATTGCAGCTAGGGCCGCTTTACGAGATTTCACCACAGTTTTTTTGTACATGCTTGTTTCTCTTTCATCATCTAGGTCGTCGTCAAGCACAATACGAACTCCTGCTTTTTCTAACGCTATTTGAGTATTCCGAGGAATGTCATCATTCAACAATTGCTCCAATCGCTCCTTTCCTTTCTCCAAAAGTACTGTCAAATCTTCTGTCTTCAGCATTTCCATGAGTTGCTGTACCTCTTCAGTTTCAGCGGTTTGTTTTACTTTCAGAGCAATCTTGTCGCTCGAATCAGAAACAACATCTTTTACTTTTTGTGCCTGTGTTTCCGGATCAGCCACGGCAGTCGTTGCTGTGGACTTAACCTTGTCGAGGTGCAAACCAATTTTCTGTGTTTGTTCTTTCAGATACGGAGTGGCTTGTTTGGCGACCCCCGTCACCTGTTCTTTCAGCTCTTTGACTTCGTCCCGGTTGTAATTATCGCTTATAAAATTTTTCGTTGCAGATGCTGCCTTATTTCCTCGTTCTATCAGCTGCACCAGCAGGGGATAGAACTTGGCACAGGGAGCACTTTCCGCCAACTCATCTATCGACACCTCTTCCGGTATTGCTAGATTGGATTCATCTAATTGAGACGCGCTCATAACAATCGAAAGTCGAGACAGGCGCCTATTTAATGCAGGCACGTCGCCATCTTTGTTGCTCGTAGATTCGTCTGGTTTTTCAGATTTCTCCGAACCAATCGGAACAATTCGATACACTTGACGATCGGAATAATACGCCTGAACCATGTACTTTTGGGGCTGTTCTTTTTCGTCGTTTTCTGCTCTTGTTACTTCCAATGATTCTCTTTTGGTGGTAATCATTCCGGGAGCCGCAGGCATTTTTCTAAGCAAGGCTTCGGGACGCAAACTGGCAGTAGACGACGATCCAATCGACCGTCCCGCAGCCCTCCACAACAACACTCGATAAAACAAGGACGAAACACCATTTTCGTCGCTCGCGTCGATTGATTCTGGCGGACGAGAAACTATAACTCCAACACCATAGATGGTCTCGACCACATCTCCGGGGCGAAACGAACTCAGCTCCTCACGATTCTTGTCGGTCATCCTCAACAAAGAAATAGGTTTCGCGATATCAACGATGAATGTACAACTGTTAGAATGGACAGTCGTTGAGCCCGGAGAGAAGGAGCGTTGTCAATGAAAATCACGAGGAAACTGTGCTCGGATTTCAAGAGATAGCTTTCGCGAGTATCCCACCAACGATGTATTGGATACGACTGTGTTGAATGTCGAAAGAACGTTTAATTAAACATGAAGGATTTTCAACAAAAACTGTGGATGACGCCATCTTTTAGTCTTGTACAGTACTGCGGTACGTAAGTAACGTACCATGGGCTGGAGGGGAAAACATAATTCGTACATCGTACGTCCCATTTGTACTGCAGGGGGTACGGGTAATTCGTAGGCGCTTTCTGAACAGGGAAGGGAAGAAGGAGAAAATTGTTTCAACAACTAGAGCCACCTCAAACTTCTAACGACATCATTCACGAGAAGCGCGCGTTTATAACGGTTGGCGAAATTTTTCCTCATCGGCCGGGTTGTACGTACTAGAGCTACTAAGTACGGGCCCCATAATGGCAAGTTATTGGCAATTCCCGTACAAACACTAGTAGAAAATTTTAGCTCATTTTTACCAGTAAAACCCGTTATAWTAACYGCCAAYTCAATAAAGAYRGTTAAAAAATTGTCCATCAACTTCTGAAAAAATTCTGGCGCGGAGAATGGCTGAGAGCCGCGCCAGTTTTTTTCTGAAACTTTACCTGTTCACTCGGTACTAGAAAACAGTGCACTACCATTACTTGCACATGATTTTTTCCGGAAATTGTGCATCATTTTTTGATGAACCGAAAAGCAAAAATACAGATAACAGTACCGTACGGAAACGGAAATAGTAGTACTGAAACGGAAACATCAGCAACCAGATAGGAACACCAACCAAAGCTGAGCTAATACTGCAACTGAAACAAATGGATAGACTATTAGTAGTAGAGCTCCCTCAGTTCTATGAAACCATGGTGGAGGATTTTGAACAAGCTCTCCTGATTGAAGATGAAGC